CTTTTCTGAAACAAACAACCGATCGAAATATAGAGAATAAACAATGAATCATGTATTTATAAGTGGTAGGTACATGGCGAGATATCGACGGCTGAAATATTTATCGCGTCAAGTGCGCTGATAAGACAAGCGCTGTTTGCAACCACCTCTCCCCTGCCCTCCGCACCCCCTCACGTCTCAAAAAATATATTATTTATCTACCATAATATCTGCAAGATCGTATCCTTCAACGGATAAGCCAAATAGCATCAATATGTGATTTGGACTGCATGTCACCCACCGAGAAAATGTATGAAAGGCTGGAGGGCCATCTGACATGACCTGGGCAATGACTAGAACTTGTTTACACATCAACCAGATAGTTTTGACAGTTCCAACTCCTTGCCAGACAATTTTTTTAGGTTAGCTGCCAAAGCTAACTACGATGACCCAAACTTCATGATGCCTTATTAAAATACCTGTTAAAGTTACAAAGCGATTATAAGGTACGAGTAGACACATTATGAATTCAGAGTTGTTCGTATACTCACTTTTCATTTATGAATAGTACATGACTTAATCTAATAGGGCAAGATGAAGTCACAATGTAGGTAAGTAAGTATACAGGGTATTTACAGTACAGAGGTGTACTTTATAGTCCGATATTGAACTTGGTCTTAGCTTCAGATATTAAATGACAGTAAATAGCACATAAGGCACTGAGCTCATCTACGAATGGTAGCTTGGTTATAAGCACACTCAGTGCAAATTAAAACTATAATATGTACATATTATAAACAGTTCCCTAAAATAGGTGTTTACATTTGAGTTTGTAACTGATGTATGTTATACATGTACTGTTACTTTATATTGTACTCTGCTGTTTATAGCAAAAACAAGATATATTAAAGCTTTTTTTTTATCATCGTCATTTCAGCCGTAGGAAGGACATCTGCTGCAAATATGCCTTCAATGATTGCCAGATCAGGCGATTGGAATTTACATACATATTATTAGACAAAGATATGTATATTAATAAAATTACTATTAAATTTTTTTTTGCGGAAACTATACTAAACATTTTTGTACAGTATCTCGTGTGCAATGTGAGTATCCAGTTTGGTGAGGACATGGCCGGTGTCCATGCAACGGAGAGAGCGTTAAGCAGGCCTCGGACCAACTGAGAGCCTATATATGCTACATACTCGTATTTTTTAATTAGTTCAATAGAGATTAACTTGTTATGTGAAATCAAAGTTGAAAAGTTCATATTCTAGATTATTACAAGCTTAATGTTTATCTAATTTGAAAAACGAAAAATCTATGGTCATCCATGTTGGTTTAGATAGTGGCGCGGCGCCGTAGCCGCGGCGAATGCCAGCAAAGCGTGGGTGATTCAGCCTAACTACACTTGACGTGTGTCAGCACTACACGTCACGTCTTAGCGGAACTGGTCGTAGTAGGTACTTATTTGCAAGTGCAAATATCCGAAGGACAACGAACGTCAAACGACTCAATCTTCTAACACATACATACAAGCCTGCATAATCTTATTTAGAATTTCATATCATTAGATATATAGAAATTTTCATTACAAATTATACTCGCTTAAGTATAATCCGAACATTTACGATTAGCTTTAGCACGCGGGTTCGCACGAGTAAAATTAGTTTGAGGGTTCGCACGAGTAAAAGACTCAATATAGGCTGAATTGCACTGCACCATCACATCATACTTAAACTGTAAGAAACATCAAAATTCTGTAACTCCATACAAAAAACATCGGTTGTGGTATAGTCACAGTTAAAATAAAGTGGTGCAACTGAACCAAAGTGTCGTATACTTAGTCAAAATCACTTTAGTATTTATGTTTTATTTAGTACTAAATTGCATTAATAAATAAGTTTTGTCCTAATATTAGTCGTGTTAGTAACAATATTTTTAATTTGATATAATTTGTGAAATCTTAATTACAAATTCTGTTTTGCGTCTTTAATAAATAAATAAATATTCACTTAGCCTATGTTAGTAAAGTACAGTTGAAGCAATATGTCACAAATAGAATCGGGAGCCGCTTACATAGCACTGGTGGCGTGCTAAGCCAGCGCCCCAACAGCGGCGAGTCCCACCCGTCATCCAATGCCCTCAGGATGCCATTTGTACTGCCGATGAGACGCTCTAGGAGCGATGGGCTCACTATACGGCAGAGGGAACACCCCAGGTTTTTAGTGGGTTCGAGCTCCACATAACCTGCCGCCCCCCGGCGATATGTATGGACAGGCCATTTTCCGGAGTCAAAGTCGGAGCGATGCGCTCTGCTTCCGAATTATCGCGTGGAAGCCGTCGGTGCACGTGCGCTTTTGCAAACATAGTCGACGCGCTGCAGAACCGAGGCAGTCCAATTAGCACCCTGAACGCATTGTTGTACCAACTGCACTAGGTGGGTAAAGCTGACCCATAGGCTACACGTGTAAAGAGACTGGCAGTAATATGTAGGTAATAAGGAAATTTGGAATTGTTCTTCTACGATTTTGTGCACTTTTTTGGAATCAGTTTTATTGTTTCACTAGCTGTGTCCGCCGCGACTTCGTACGCATGAAAATAATTTATTTGAATAATATTTCCCTTTTTGCAACATTTTTCTTTACTGATCCGCCCCTGTTGGCTTTAGGGTGATGTTATATAGCCTAATACCTTCCTCGGATAAATGGGCTAGGTATTCTAGTTTCATAATTGAATAAGATATTATCAACGGAGGTTGACAGTTTACGCGATTGAAAAGTAACGGAAAAGCTAAATCCGTAATGGCCTAAGAGCCCGTGAACGTCAGACCTTCGTTATTTTATAAAAGCTGAAAGTATGTCAGCGCATGCTCCCAGCCCTGTGTTTAACCACCATGAAGTTTGAGTCATAGTAGTTTTGGCAATTACCCTAAAATGCTTGCTGAGCAAGGGGTTGAAACTATCGAAACTGTCTAGCAGATGAGGAAACGTCTAATTATTGCCCAAATACTCTCATGTATTTTATAGTCTCATAGCTGCGTGTGAGTACTATCGTTGTCGTTATTCTCATTCATCCTGGGGTGGGCAATAGACCATTCTGAAGTGGGCACGGAGCCAAATGTTGGTCTCGAAGCGCAAAAAGATTATGGGACATGTAAAGGCTCCAGGCTGTTTTTCTTTAGATATTTGACCAATCGTAATAAAGACATTTTCACTTTCACGTTGCCTTATTATTTTTTTAAACAAGCTTTAGCCTAGGCGCAGACCACCGATTTTTAGTCGGCCGATAGTTGAGGCCGATCCTAATTTGTATGAAGAATCAATCGGTGTAATGTACCTACGCACTTCTATACATGCCCATACTAATTAACTGCCCGACTAAACTATCGGCTGACAATAAAACCGGTGGTCTGCGCCTAGGCTTACATAGTCATCAAAACACCTGAAAGTTATCGATAACTTTAGTCAGAATTTTGTATTTTTCAGAATTTTAAAAAATCTTCTATGCAGATCGATTTTTTTTTACTCAGAACAAGGCAGGTATTTGATCGCAATCGCACCTGATGTTTAAGTGAGATGCAGTCCAGGATGGAAAATTATCTTATCGACTTATGAATTTGAATAATTGTGATTTCAACTGAAACTGAAACCGGCAAACTACGAGTCGGACTCGCGCGCTGAGGGTTCCGTACAAACGTTTTTTTATCCACCATTGTGGAACCTCTTGGCCTAGGCCATCTCACCTGATGGAAAATGATGATCAGGCTAATTACAAAGTTTTCCAGGGATTGCGTGCAATTTGAGAGCGATACCCTACTATGATTATGATTATTTTGTAAGGTCCACTGAGATATGATTGAGTTTCTATCCTAGTAATGGGGAGCAAGCACGGTAGGTAAGGAACACGGTTTACTTATCGAGTGTAATTAGACCGATGATCGATGTCTCAAGTCGGTTTAATTGATTAGATAAGGGCTGAGCGCATTACCAGGCGGCCTTATCGTGCTTTTATTGTCAGATACGTATCGTAAAAATAATGGCTACTAAGTACCTACGGCCGGAGCATAAATTCAGGGATAAAAAGGGATTACACAAAAGTCCTTTATATTGTTTTCTATTCTTGACACGTTGGCGATAAATGCATGTTCTTATTCGGATTACAGACTGCCTAAACCTCAATTTGTTACGTACGAACTACGGACTCCACGCGCACACGTGCAGAAATGGAGAAGTTTCTAGCCATCTCTTTGCATTTTCGTGTGACGATAAACATAAAGTAATGAAAAGTCGATAATTTTGAACAGTATAAATAAATAGTGTAATAAAGCAGGCACAAAGCATTGAAACCACCGCATACTACCACTATTTTCATGTAGATTCTATAAGTGATCTCGCTCGATTATTTTAAAACTATACAAGATATCGAGAAACTATTTACTGATCCTAAAAGTGCTTCATGAACTATATCAAACGGTATTAATAATAGGTTACAGAATAAACTGTATCTATCCGAAAATTCAATGTTTTCAGCTTCCATACGTTTGGTAATGCCACATAATATTAAAACCACATAACTTTTCATGATACTGAGAAAAGGGAAGGAGGTCAAGAGTCAGTGGTTGATGTGCAAACAATATTACAAATAGGGGCCTTTTAAAACGAAACTTATGAGATGATAAAAACAAGGAGGTAGCTTGCAATTGTAATTCAGAAAGAGAATGACTAGGCACCTTCTTTTCACGTCATAAATAATGTGTAGAGTAGGTAAGCATAAAAGCATTGTCACCTATTAGCCTTGCGCGTATGCCTTGCCGGACACGAATTAAATTTTGAATATAATTATGCTTAGTTACGTAGGTTTGGTATCGTTCGCGAGGTTTATAAGAAAATAATGCCAATATTTTAAAATGATATCAGGTGTAGCTTCTTTTCATAATATGCTCAGACCTACACGTAGACGCAAACTAAAGTACCTAGATCAACAATGTATACATAAGTAGGCAATTTTTTATATTGATATATCGATAGGAGCTCTTATACGTGAAATATAATGTGTTTAAACAATTGAATATTGTAAAGAAAAATTGTTACGTTTAAAATAGCTCTCAGTGCGGACAGGGAAAACTGAAAACTGAAGCCTGTCCAATCGCAGATGCGGACGGGTGCACACATGCGTGATCAGTGTCTGTGTATGAGCTGTACACGCTGGCGTGCGCATGTGTGGGGCGCAAAGGTGTGAAGCGGAGCGCGCCGCGGGGCGGAGGCGGCGTGCGCGCCCACTCGCGATGCCGCGCAGAACCGTCGCGTACGCGGAGTGATCGTTTTTCCCGCGATGCTGTGATTGTGCCAAAGAACGCCAAAGATAGAGTGATTGCCATCGAGTGGTACGCGTAGAGAAGGTGAGCACTGCACTTATACGTTGTAAGACTTCTATTATGAAATAACAAAAGTAACGGTACATTGATTTATTAGTATTTAAAATCATGTTGGTCGAATTTACTTTATAGAATTAATAATTAATGAAAATAATATGACTCTACAAGTAATTACAACTAAATTCTAACAATCTCGTTTATTAATAACAGCAGGGCACCCAAGGTTTTAAAAATTAGGTTCGATTATAATATATTTTAAATTATGTAGATAGTATTTGTGGAAATAATCCTTCAAGGCTTAGTACTGAAATCAAATTTAAGAAAACTTCAAAGAAATTGTCCACGATAAGACTTTCTTTAACTAAAAATACAAAATAAAATGACATCTAGGCATATCACTTATCAAATATGATGTATCTATCGTTCAATCCAAATATGTAAAGTAAAATACTTTATTTGTGTTTTTTTCTGATGTTCTTATCAATCAGTTTTAAGTGATCAAAACGAATTGATAATTCTTTTGTATCATTTGTAATAATTAGTAAGGAAAAATTTCAATTCAATAAGGCAGGAATTAGTACGCAATTTCGCTTTAAAAACTATAGGTGGTAAGTATAAATCTTGTTAATAGAGAATCATCGAATATTACGAGTACCTTATTAAAATATTGCAATAAATTAAATCAACTATTTCCTACTCTTCAATATTATAATTAATATAAACAATTAAGCGTATAGCAACCAATATCATTTAAGTATCAAATACCTATCGTTTTTTCATAATTTATACTTAATAAAATAAATAAAATAAAAGTTTATTTAACAACTTTAACATTTTTTACATTGCTTACATTGCATTGTTGTACATACATACATTTCCTTAAAGACTTACTTACTTAGTTTTTAAAGGACTATTTATTTGGAAAAGGTACATAAAAAGTTGTCTCGGTCTGTCCCGGCTTGACCATACTTAAAAAGAACAGCCAGGACCGTAAGCTTTTATAAGTACAATGTACTATTACACACCATTAGTATCCATACTTCCAAACAAACTTACTAATAGTAACATGCCTAAACTAATGATCTGTGTGCCTACCATGAGTTCACGTTAGGTGTACTCGCTAGCGACTGCGTAAAAAAATGACATTTAAATGTATGACATATTGTGCAGCGCCCCTAGCGGCTACTTTCAAGAAATAAAATCTTCATAGAATTTTTTGATGTATTCGCTAGCGAGCTCACCTAACGTAAACTCATGGTAGGCACACTGATGTTTATGACATTTTAATAGATAGTTTGAGACAGGCAAAAATATACAAAAGTTTTTATTTCGATTCTTAAAACGGATATAAGCGCGCGCGACAGCCGAAATTCAATTCATGCGATCGAAGTCGCAGACAAAAGATTTAGCCTATATAGGCCCAGATCACAGATTTTTGTTGGCCGTAAGTTGAGTCAGACTGTTATCAAGAAGTATGAAAGTGCACACTTTACACCGATTTGGTATCGGCTGATTCTTTATACAAATAAGAATCAGGCCCAACTATCGGCCAACTAAAAATCGGTGGTCTGCGCCTAGGCTTATAATTATTACTAGCGGCCGCCCGCGACTTCGTACGCATGGATCCCGTTTTACACACTTAGGGGTGGAGTTTCGTAAAATCCTTTCTTAGCGGATGCCTACATCATAACATCTACCTGCAAGCCAAATTTCAGCCCGATCCGTCCAGTGGTTTGGGCTGTGCGTTGATAGATCACTATGTCAGTCAGTCAGTCAGTCACCTTTTAGTTATATGTAGTACATTTAGATAGAGTGACGAAGCGGTATTACATAAAATAAAATGTTTGGAATATTTGCCTAGCTCGAATCAAACATTTTAACTATTGTATTTTAATAAAGACTTTTCTTTATAAACCCTTAAAAAAGAGGCTGACAATAGTGACTGAGTTTCTTGCGCTTCTTCTCAACACACGGGCCCATTTATTGTTCCGAAGCAGTGGTAGGATTATACTGGGACGTGTAAAAGTGATTTTTAAAAGCCTACTAGTAAATTAACTAATAAATAATCCACGTAATTATACTTTAAGAAGTTATTTATTGCGATTACTAGTCACCTTAGCCGTAAAGATATCGGATATGGATAGAACAGCATTATTCATAGTAAATAAGTTATGATTTAACAAGTGTCATCATCGCCAATTCATTTAATTTTCTGTTTTTCTGTTTTCTTTTGTGTCAAATAAAGTTTTTCTTATTCTTATTCTTATTTATTTAAATGAGGAATAACGCCATGTAGTAACGGAAAGTAAGTATAATCACAATAACAGCTATGCTTCGTAACGCTCGTTCGTAGCAAGACCCGAGCTTTAAGTTTAGCGCCCGTAGTAGCGAACAGTAGCACTGGTAAGGGCACGAAAATGACGATTTGCGCTTGCGCAAATGATCCTCGTGGTTCATAAGTGTTGTATATTTAAAGAAAATAATTCATTTATGAATAGATAAATTTAGATTTATTATTCGTGAATTTGAACAATTACTCTTAGGTACATTATATTGATATACTCGTACCAATTGTAAGAGTTTTCAAGGCAAAAACAAATACTATATCAAAACCAAACTACAATAAGTTCGAATAGCGGGTCTACGATATACTACTCGTGTAAAATTTTATTCGATCAACAGCACCTGGTTTTCATTGACCCGAACAAAAAGTTCTCAAAAATTCTACATTTTGTGTTGTGAAGCTAATACGAATACGTAAAATTGACATAATTTATGCGTTTGCAGCACATTGCAGGTTGTAAGTTAAGATTTATGCTGATACGAAATATGTTCTGTTGTTCCCTTAATCGTCACTTTTCCCACCGAGTCCCGCTCATCGGGGTTATTAATATGATGAAACTCTTATCAGCAGTGATGTTATCAACGAGCAAACAGCGCGCCATAAACGCTGCAGCGGAAACCACAAGGCACGCCTAAAATACACCTTACCACCTCAAACTAAGGTCAAAAATAGACGTATACTAAATTGTAGCTTATTTTTATAAACTGACAGTATTACGGTGGAGGAATGAATATTTAAAGGACATGTTTGCCAACTCGTAACGTCGTACACGGAACACCCAAAACGAAGGCAATGGAGGCATCTGTTTTCTTGATAGTTAACTGAATTACTTTACGATAGGTAATGATTTTATTTTATACACAATATAAATAATTGAAGCAATTTATTATGCTGGTTTATGACTTAAGAAGTTTGAGTCCAAGATTTCATTTTTAAGAAAATAATTATCGATGGAATAAATATCTATAAAACAACCTAACTACGACTAAAAGTTAAAGCCAAGTATCAGCCTCCTGACGGTGTCAATGACACTAGAGCGAGGGTCGCAGCCGGCGCCGGCGCCGCTCTCCCTATTTGTACTTCCGCGGCCCAGCTCTCTTCCGGCCGCGTGAAGCCTTCGCCTTAGTTTATTTGTCGTCACCGCAGGTGAAAAAACTTGCTGGTACCAACAGCTATAGTAGACTTTTTAAAAATGTCGATAAAAAATAACAGCATCTTTATTTGCAGGTAAATATGGAGACAGTAACGTCGATGGGACGCGTAGTCAGTGAAGAGCAAAGAGAGGAGGAACCGACGCAGGAAGCGTTACAACTAGTCAAAAATGAGGAAAGAATAGAACAGGAACAAGCTGTGGATGCCTCCAACGGCGCGAGCGAGCAACCGGCAGTCGAAATGCACTCCAACGCCGCCAGCCGAGACTCGTCTCCACACCCACACTCGCAGTCCGTGATCACCTCGCGCCGCGCAGTGCGCACCATCACCGCCGCCGGGCACATCACCACCGAGACCGGGGAGCTCGGCAACGACGACGGGGTCAAAGATGAGCCGCCAGAAACGTCCCAAATGGAACACGAGCAGCACCAACTCCAGCATTATGCGCCCAAGTTAGAAGAAACAGACGGACGTGAAGCCCCACAACAACACTACGACGAGGAAAGGTTACGGTTAGCGGAAGCTGAAACGGCTCGATATCTAGCGTTCAAGCAAGAGCCTTATAGAACGCTACCATCTCCAGCGTCGGCGGACAAGCGCCTGCAGCCGCAATACGCTCGCGCCCCGCAGCGGCCGCCCTACGGACGCGGGCTGGCGCTGCGCTACGGGGCGCCTCACCACGTCATCGTTGCTCAGGAAGGTGAAGCGGAGGAGCACGGGCATGAAGCCTTTTTAGCGCATAAAGATAAAACAGAACAAATGCAAGTTTACGCAACGAGTGCCGAGGGGGCCAACGGCTCCGCAGACGGGCGGCAGTACGCGGCCGTATTGAGCGATCAGGCGGCTGCGTCCACCGCTTTGGAGATGATTCAGACGACGTCGCTCAGCAACCAACAGTCCGTGGGAGTGGCGTACCAGCAAGTGAAGTACGAGACGAGGGCAGAGGGCGAGCCGCGGCCCACGACGTACGCGAGCCTGCAGCCGGTGACGTCGGTGCACGGCGGCTACGCGTACGCCGGCCAGAGCCCGCAGTACGGCGGCGCGGGCTACGGCGCCTACGCGGGCGGCGGCAAGGAGCTGCTCACGCTGTACGGCGGCGCGCCGGGCCCGAGCGCGGCGCGCGGCGACGAGTCCCCGCCGGGCCAGCTCATGTACCGCAGCGACCCCACGCTGTCGTCCTCCTCGCTGACCGCGCGGGGCGCGCACGTCGTGTACGGCTCCGTCGTGCCGCAGTCGCAGACCGTATACGAAGCTCCGCCGAGTCCCAATTCTCAGCAGGTAAGGAGGAACGACGAAACAAAGAGGGCGTCGCTCGTCAAGTCCGCGACTAATGAGTATCGCTCCAGGTGACGCTGTACACGCACGGCAACACGGTGCAGTACAAGGTGGGCGGCGAGCACTACCTGGGGCAGGGCGGCGGCGTGGAGTACGTGCCGGTGTCGGGCTACGAGAGCGGGCTGCTGGTGGAGAGCTACCCGGCGCCGGCGCAGGCCTGGCCCGCGCACAACCTGCTGCCCATCGACGACGGGTTCGACCCCGGTGAGTATCGGCTTTACAAAACTTTACAAAATATCTGGTCGTAAATAATACAACTAAAGTAGTTAGACTTTGTATGTATGTGCATATTAATAAATGTAACTATACGGTTTGTAATAAACATTACATTCAATTCAATTCAACTAGGTACTTTATTTTGTCCGTTCATTTCATTACTATTCTTGATTATGATGAATCACATCAAAGTATAGTCACTAATACGAAATTGTGGTGCAATAATTAAATTGAGTAATAATTAGGAAGTTTAAAAAAGACACAATGTATTTATATTGGAGAGAGAAATTAGCTAGAAGCTCCGGTAACAGTAAAAGTTCAGTTGATGTGGTCTATTATTGTTAACTTATATGTATGCGCAACACGCATATTGTCTTCACCCTCGACCAAGGGCTTAAGCCTAGGCGCAGACCATAGATTTTTCGTCAGCCGATAGTTGGGTCGGGCTGTTAATCAGTATGGACATGTATGGAAGTGCGCACATTTTACCGATTTGATTTTCATACAAATAAAAATCGGATCCAACTACCGGCCAACTAAAAGTTGGTGGTCTGCGCGTAGGCTAACCCTAATAAAATCTCGTAGTCAACAACATTCGCATTAAATTCGAACATGTTTTATTGGCCGTCGCAGTAAAACCCTAAAACAAGTTGTGTTGGCAGCGATGGCCGGCATGGGCGAGGTGAAGGAGTGCGTGAACTGCGCCGCGGCCACGACGCCGCTGTGGCGGCGCGACGGCACCGGCCACTACCTGTGCAACGCCTGCGGGCTCTACACGCGCATCAACGGCGTCAACCGCCCGCCGCTCAAGGGGCAGAAGGCCAAGCCGCAGCAGGCGCTGGTAACTATGCACAGTCTTCCTATGCACTGATCGGTCAAACCTCAAATTGATCGGATATCAAGAATCGGACTCGGAGAGCGATCGGTTGACTGATCAACTGGTTTTTGTTACCTACACTTGCATAATTATATTAAGCTCACGGGATAGTTAAATCTGGGATCATTAAATAACGTGATCGGATTTTATCGTTAAAAAACTCATACTTAGTAGTGGAATTAAGTATGAAATTGAAATTATTCCTTATAAACAAAGCCCTATTTTCTTTAACTTAAAGTCATGATTTTCTACATAACTTGATTAAAATCCCGAAGTAATTGACGGAAGAAGTGATGATGCATGAGTGCTCCCTAATCAGCAGTATGTTTGGCAGCCGACGAACGGCAACCGGCGCGTGGGCGTGACGTGCGCCAACTGCCGCACCTCCAACACCACGCTGTGGCGCCGCAACAACAACGGCGAGCCCGTCTGCAACGCCTGCGGCCTCTACTACAAGCTGCACAACGTAAGCACACCATGCATGCTTCCGTGCCTCTGTCACCCCCACAAGCAATAGATACTTCTAATTAAAATGATGTTTTAAAGCTTCCGTACCCGTATATTTATAAACATCAGATAGAAGCATATCGCGCTAGGAGTATCGCGCGATTGTGCATCGATTACAGAGTTATGCTGATTAGATGAGCCAGCCCGCAGGTATCTAATCGCCGGTGCACCAGTTATCAGGGAACTCCTCGGCAAATATTAGACCTGTATAAAAAATCAAAACACAGGGTCTCATCTAATCTCGCGAGATAAAACGCGGGGCTACCGACTGATAGAGAATTATCATCGCGCGACCACGAATATTCATAATGAGATAAATAATCTTTTATCAATTATCTCCTCGTGGGTAGATACGCTTGTTTAAAGGATGATAGGAGCGCGTGGCGGCAGATTACGAGGAGTTCCCCCGTCTGCCAGTCGCGGCTAAGGAGTGTGTGTCCGCAGGTGAACCGGCCGCTGAGCATGAAGAAGGACGGCATCCAGACGCGCAAGCGCAAGCCCAAGAGCATGGGCGGCGGGCACGGCGGCGCGGCGCGGCCCGGCGGCGCGCTCTCCGGTACGTGCTGGCCCGTGTGCGTGTAGCTCTAGTCCTGTGCCCGGCTCATGCTTTGTGTGTCGCAGTGGAGGCGCCCCCGCACAAGGTGCTGCCTCCGCTGTACGCGGCGGTGGAGGCGGGCGCGGGCGCGGCGGGCGCGGCGGCCGCGGGCGCGCTGCTGCTGCTGCCCTCTGCGCGCCACCAAGCCGATATGTGAGTACATACTCCGAGACGTGCTTGCCGTTCGCTGAAATTTATGCCTGTGTTTCAAGATCGGTATTCGTTTTTGATCAAAACACACTGATTCGAGTTCAATCTTGAAAACAGCAGCACTAACCGTCTTGTTTTAAAAACACCAAGCACTGAAATAACATTGGGCTTCGTGCACCACGTCTTTGTACAACTGACGCCTGTCTTCAACTCTCTTCTGCTCTCGCACTCAAAGGTACTGCATATCGGCTTGCGACTAGAACTAGTCTGGTTTTGGTTGTGTGTTACTGAACCTGTGCTCGAACGTTCATGTGCCAGTCTTACGCGTCGCAGTGTATTTGCGCGTGTCTTATGCTCGTTATCTCAAGGTTTGCGTTGCGCTTACACTCGGCTGTTGTTTCACTTTCAGCTATTTTTACAATGTGTGCTCTGCGCTCACCTACTTAGTAGACCCGAACGCTGGTGTTGGTTAGTAAACTGTAATCTGTCTCGAGCACCGTAGTTTCAGAAATATCATAATGTTATGCTAGCTTCATGCTTATAAATAAATTAGTAAGCTAAAATTTTTGTAATAGGTACCAATACTCATACTTACCTACATTATAAAGAAAATACATTTAATTTGCCAACAAGGCGTAGTACTTACTTATCTAATCATATTTTATTTCTGTCATTGGAACAAGATTATATTTTTAATTCTTGGCATTTTATTTCAATAGGTTCACCACGATAATTATGATATTGCCATAATTGTTCATAGTTTACGATATATTTTTCTTTTTGTTTTTATTGGCATTGCCTTGTATTTTTCCATTGAAATACCTACTAGATCGGATCGAGACAGCTGAACCGATTTCGCAACTGATTAGGATCTTATCAGTCTTGTGACATGTGCCGACGCCGACACGCAATATCCGTGGATTTCATCAATTTTATGTATAAAAATAAAATCATTCGTCATAGGCAATTCTTTTTTACTACTGCTTCAGTTACTGCTAAGCTCATAAGTTTTTATTTAAACAAAATGCAAAGTTAAGTCAACATACAAAATAGAATTATTAAGAATTTAGTTGGGCAATCCAGAAGCGCGATTTTAATACAATATTTTCAAACGCCAGTAAACATTACAAGGGCTGTCAATACACTGGAATCTATTCAATGATTGCCATACTTTTCAATCAAAAGGCGTCCTCTGCTGGACTAAGACGTCAATTATAAATTTCCACAGCGACCGGTCTTGTGCTGTCCGTATTTACTAGTGGCATTCCGCAGCTTTCACTAGGTACGCCAAAACGAAAACGCCCAGTTGGATTTTTCACATCTCAGACTCGCACATCAATAATATTTTGCCCCGGTGAGAAAAAGACGTAGATCCGCGGCGTTCCCCGTGAAGCGTTCGATAGCTAGACATTAAAAATGTCGAGTCAAATGTCTCCAGAAACAAATGATATAATACATCACATGTTCAATATTGTGTATTATGTAACTTAATTTCCAATTGTGTTAAATAGTATATGTTACATCAACGATTTCGTTTGATTCAAAAAGTATTTCGTATTTTTTCACTCTATAGTATATTGAGAGTGTAATCAATTCGATAAGTTTATTGCTTGTTTAATGTAAATGGATAAATAATGTCAATAGGTTTTATGAAGTATATCAGTTTCCTAAAGCATCGGTGTTGATGTGTTCCGCAGGGTACCAGCGCTAGAGCGCGGCGCGCCGCACTACCGCCCGCCGTGACCGCCCGCGCATCCTGTACATACTAGTTTGTAATCCACTCACATTCAAGGTGGACCCAACCCTCTCGCATTCTATGAGCACTTAATGAGAAAACGCAATTGAAAATTATCAAGAGCAGATTTTTGTCAAAAGATACGACTGTGTACGAGTAAGTATCGCACCAGAAGTAAATTATGACAATGAGCATTAGTTATAGATACTTTACAGCAAGACGATGCTAGAGATGTGGGTGTGGGCCTGCCTTTGTAAATATTGTGAATTGTTGTGTAAATTAAGAAAATAGAACAAAAGCAGCTTTGAGCCAAATATAAAATACATACGAGTCTAATAATTTTGTACAGTAATTTTATCTGTTGTGTTCACTGTTGAACGTCAACTGACGCATAGTTTACTTAAGTTAATTCTCAAATAGTGTAACAGCGTTCGAATTACCGCTTATTTTATAAAGTTGTGCGTTTGCGCAGCGTTAGGTTAAATAAATGAATAAATCCAACATACGTATATAGAGTTTATGTTGTCGTCTCTGCAATAAGGAGTTGCTTTCAACATTTTGTATTGAAAGGGAAATACGTATTTTAATTGTACACGGAGCAACGTATGGATAAATAATGACGTATTATGAAAACATATTTGTACCTACCGATAAAAAATTTAAGCATTCTTCTAACCCGTCTACAATTATTTAATTAACTTTTTCTAGAACGCATGACGTTTCCTACAGACGAGTTTAACTGTTATTTAGCAACGAATTTATTAATTACTATTTACTTGTTTAAGAGTTGACATAACTGCGTGTAAATGTAAAGAGTTCCGAGTGTTTGCTATAGGTCTGTATTATTTATGATTTGACAGAGTCACTGATGTAATGTGGAGTAAAGAAAATTACTATTTTTATCACAGTTGTTTTTTCTACTTTCTCCTGATGTCTCCTTTGTCCCTTGATGAGATAGGCCCTCTAAAAAAAAAGTGTTAGCTCTATTGTTTTAAAAAATGTACCTTAAAATTTCTGAACGGGTCCACGATATTAAAATTAAAAAAGCATTTCGCTGTTCCATGAAAACATTTGGTAAAATCAAAGGTAAAAGCTGGATTTATGGATGAATAATACCTATAAAAAATACTTTGGATAATACTCGTGGTCCCATTGGAATTCATATGCGAAAATTTAAAAATATATTTTACAATTTCATGGACCCGTTGGGAAAAGAAGAACATAAAGTTATATCACGTGACATAATTATTATAACTGTGCTGTGACACAAACGTACCCACAGAAGCCATTTTTGTAGATTATGTATTAATACAGTGAACGAACTGTTTAGCCAACTACGTAATATCAAATCTTCAAACGTGTATGACTTGCCTTAGAGTAGGTATTACTAAGATTTTGACCCCATATTAGCTATTGCTCCGAGTGAGGAGTAGGTACTACAGCTGTACCATTTTTTTCATTGACCGGCACTTTCAGAAAAGGCCTAAAAAATAAAATTCCTTTTTAACCGACTTCAAAAAGGAGGACGTTATATGTTCGGCTGTATGTTTTTTTTTTCTATGTATTTTCATCGTAAAGGTAGCAGGGAAGCGCTGGATGCAGGCCGCTACCAATCGATCAACGTGGAAAGCATTGGGGGAGGCCTATGTTCAGCAGTGGACGTCCTATGGCTGAAATGATGATGATGTTCACCGATTACTCCGTCAACTGTTGACCGATTTGTGGTGGTCCCATTACCACCAAGTCCAAGAGGGCAAACCTCAAATTTTATAGGCACGTATTACGTTTTTCATATTTATTCTAAAGTTATTCAAGTATAATGCGTCTGGTAGTCATAATCTAATATTGATGAGGTGATGATGGAAGGTACAACTCCTTAACGGTTAGGAGTTGGAGAATAATTATTTAAATATTTTAGGTACGTATGTATGTACATACAGTTGTATTATTTCAGGTTTTTTAGGTGAACTGATGATGAAAGGTCAAACTTCGTAAGTAAGGAGTTAGATGATACTTTTTAGTTGCCGATATTTAAAGTAGGTAGCCTGTATTTTGTAGGGAAGATTATTTACACTTAAATGGAAAACTATAGTCTCAATCTCATTAAACATTTTATTAGGTACTGTCCATCTTCAGTGACAATAACAAGGACTTATCAACTAAAAAGCATGAAATAAATTAATTTTAACAAAAAAATTTAATCCGACTCCAAAAACCCTGCACTAAAAAGTAGAAAGAAATTACATTATTTATTTATTAGGACAAATGTATACCATGATTGATATTTTTGGAGTCGGTGCCGGTAAATTTAGAACATTTCTTGAGCTTGGCACTGGGCAGACTGGCACCGACTCCGAGAATATCAATCATGGTATACATTTGTCCTAATAAATAAAAAATGAAATTATTTTCTACTTTTTAGTGCACGTAAAGGTAGCAGGGAGGCGCTGGACGCAGGCCGCTACCAATCGATCAACGTGGAAAGCATTAGGGGAGGCCTTTGTTCAGCAGTGGACGTCCTATGACTGAAATGATGATGATGATGATGATGATGAGTGCACGTTTTTTGGAGTCGGTTTTAATTTTTCTGTTAAAATTAATGAATTTTATTTTCCCAAAATCAATTAAAACTTATTACTGAAATTGACTTTATTGCCCGCGGCTTCACCCGCGTGAAAGGATGATGGGCACAAATGTATGGAAAGTGGTACCCGCTCCAATAGCCATAACCAATATATATTTTAAAAGGCCTTTAGATGTAGGTAAATGTCTGCTATGGGGCCAGATCTAATTCACGTTTTGAAAGCAGTAATTCCACTAAGTATTATAATGAAAGTATAACACAATCATCCATGTATACGAGTATGTATTATGACTACAATCTATTAATATAACTAAAAGAAGCATTGAAAAGGAAAGGATTATACCTACGATGAACTACCCAAGCTATTAGACCTTTATTCGCTTTCATCATCATCATCGTGATCATTTTAGCCATAGGACGTCCAGTTGAACATAGGCCTCCCCCAATAATTTCCACAATGGTCGGTTGGTGGCGGCCTGAATCCAGCGCCTTCCCGATACCTTTGTGAGGTCGTCGGTCCATCTTGTGGGTGGACTTGTTGGGTCTTGTGGGTTTATTCGCTTTAGCAACCCATAATAAAACCCTTAAGAAGTAATAAAACTTTAACCCCTTTCTTTATTAATAAAAGTTACACCCTAGTTGAACTCTGGCTTAAATTGTCATTTGGTATGGAAATGTCATTTTAATCCAAGGTTCTTCCTAGGTGTAACTTTTTATGAATACCCCTTATCAAGCTTAGTAGTATAAAAATATTTATTTCACAATCATCCCCATCAATAATTATAGAGTTAAGGAAGGATGCTGGAACAGTAAACCCTTCCTGACTCGCATAACCTAAGTACCATACGATAGACACGTATGATACTTCTTCTTTTTCTTCCTCGGTCTCTTCCTCCCTCACTGATGAGGATCGCGACCACAGATAGTGTTCCTCCACAGACTGCGGTCATAAGCTGTGTGGACCGCACGATGCAAACTCCCGCCCACCGTCTTCCTCACCGCGTCCGACCATCTCGTCGGTGCCCTGCCCCGAGTGCGTCCCCCTTCATACTGTATGATACTTAGGTTACACAAAAAGTATCTTTATCTTCGAACGCAACCAGATCTGAGGCTGGTGGCCATAGTAAATGTTGTTCGTCTTGGTAAGACCTTTCAAATGACACTACAAACATTACTATTGGAGCCGGGTACCATTCTGCAAAAAAGTATGTATATCTTCGTACACAACCAGATCTGAGGCTGGTGGTCATAGTAAAAGTTGTTCATCTTGGTAAGACCTTTCAAACGATACTAGACTCATATCTATTGGAGCCGGGTACCATTTTGCCCATTGTCCTTTAGTTTGTCACAGATCGTCATAAATTATTATAACCTATATGTTATTCTGGGTTGAACACAATAATACTGTAAAGTTTCATCGAAATCCGTTCAGTAGTCTTTACGTGAAAGAGTAACAAACAATCACACACAAACTTTCGCATTTATAATATTAATATAGTAGGATGATTACTTTATACAACCAATTTAATAGGTAATTTAGCTTAATTTATTAATAACCAGCTGGCGGGTTTAAAGATTTGTTTCGACTAATCAGTTGATTTGTCGAGATGTGCAGTTGCACAGCTCGACAGTTTTATTGATTTACGACTCCGACTCTACACGCGCGCCCTCTTTACATAATTCGACGAACTTAAATGTTTGTGCTATAGAGGGCGCTGGTACGATAATATGTAATGTATACTAGCGCCACTCGAAGTGCAGGTACCAGCAAAAGCGTACTAAATGAGGTCATCTTTATCCAGAGTAGGTACGTACGTAACGGAACGCAAGATGGCGCTACTCATATTAATTTGTCTAAATACGCACGTTTAAGACTGTTGTGCGCTACATCTAGACACGTGATGGCAGTGCATTAGATTTATGTAGGTATAAAATCTGTTAGGGACCCGATCCGACAAACTTTCAGATTACATTTAATTTAATCGAAATAATACATTTGTGGTAAAATCTCAACCCTCTCGGATCCGAGTGGTAGTCATTTCAATGTTTTTATTTTTAGTATAGTGATTGGAGTAAAACATTATAAAATAATGGACTTAAAAAACTCTCGAATAGACACAGTGTGGCAACATATTTTTTTATTAACACCCTGTAAATTTTATAGAAAACGCCCTTAAAGTCTGTGGGTTCCCGAACAGATTGTATAAACTCGATACAATGTCAATAATTTTTATTCTATTACTAGCTTTTACCCGCGGTTTCACCCGCGTGAAATTTAGTAGGTATGTCACAGATCGTCATAAATTATAGCCTATATGTTAATCTGGGTTATAAACCGTAATACTGTAAAGTTTCAACAAAATCCGTTCAGTAGTTTTTGCGTGAAAAAGTAACAAACATCCAGACATCCAGACATCCAAACATCCAGACATCATGACAATTCATGACATCCAAACTTTCGCATTTATAATATTATAAGTAGGACAATAAAATAAAAGACTGGTATTAACGCACTTGTATCCTTGGACCAACTCCCACTTCGTGGGCTCACTCTTGCTCGATTCGAGACCACAGATTTCCCAGGGCTCATGTTAAAAATTGTTTTGTTTACATGCAATTCTTTTTTTTTGTATTGTTGTAAGATTTGAATTTGATTTCAACCAATCTTTTGATATTAGGGCCCTCAATTACAACCTGTCAAAAGAATCGCCGCATCTTCAAAACAGAAATAATCTATATTCCTAGAGCCTGGATTTTGGATTTTAAGACTTGAAACCAAATTGTAGATTAATACATAAACTTAATTGACACAGTATTAATTTACAGTTGCAGTTTAACTCTGTGCCAAGGCCAACATTACAGGCCCAATCAATCAGTATTTTACATTTTCAAATCACGTTTTTTCTAATTTACAGGACCATACTCGTATATTGTAACTAACTTAACTATACAATTATGTTTCGTAAATATGCAGTTTCCCAGAAAATTGCCTATTTATTTATTTATTTTTTGGGAAACATACAGTTACAATATAATTTAACTTAGGTACAGTAAGAAAACACATAAACCAATTAAGTTTCCACAGTTAAATATACACATGAAGTTGGGCAAACCATTATAAATAAAATTTTGTTGTGAAAAATATAAACTCATAAATAATAAATATCGTAATCATAATATCTTTATTGCTTTATGTGGTACAAACAAGGTATAAATAAAGTCTATGTTTGACGGAAAATAATATTAAAATCCGCCGCTACCAATCGATCAAGGTGGAAAGCATTAGGGGAGGTTGTTCAGAAGTGGACGTCCTATGGC